TCTTTGTCTGCCTCAAATATATCATGTGTCACAAGTACTCTGCACACAATTTTCATGGTTACCCTGTGGTGTATCAAGATTCTTTGGGATGGAAGAACCAGAATCTGAAGGAAAAAAAAATTCTTTAAGCAAAATCTTGGCTCACTTTCGATATCCCCCATCATGGATGAAAGCCTGTGCTGTGTCCTCAAGCTTCAGTGCCTTGACCAAACAACTAGATTTCCTAGCATTCATTACCTAACTACGCTTGCCCAGAAAATAGTGTCACCCAATTGCCTTGAGATGGGGGAGGGAAAAGTCCTGTTCCCAATTCTCCAATGCTAAAAGAGTGATGGAAAAGACCAAAATGCAGCATCAGCACAGTTAGCAGAAGCACAGAGGGCGTCCTGCCCTGCCCGGCCTCGGTCCCACTGTAGACCTTCACCACCTTCATCGAGGGTCATTCTTTGATCTATGGTGTCCGTATTTTGTTTCCTAGCCCAGCAAGGTCACCTGGAAGGCCTGGAACCCTGAATCTACAAACCCAGAAGAAGTGGGTTCCTGATTCCTACTTCAGACCTACTGCAGCCAACTGTTTCTGCAGCAACTATGGGACTTACTTGATAGAGGGTCTTGATCTGAAATCCAAGAACCTCCAACCTCAGCCTCCGATTTCTAGAATTACAGACATTTGCAACCATGCCTGGTACCAAATCCAATTGTTTTTTGCTTTGGTAGATTTTTCATGTTAATGTTTCTGGTTGTACAATGGATATTTCTGCACATGCCTCTAATGTTCTTTCTTCATATTCCACTTCACCTATTCTACCCTTTCTCACCCACTGCCCCTTTTAACAGAAATGTTCACAGGGTTCATTACTCCGTTTGTCATAGCTCTGTATAACATGTGATGGTCATACTTATCTGCCCCTCCTCCATCTGCTTTCAAACTCAGTCCCCCGTTTACATTCCTGACAAGAGTCAATATTTGTCTTTCTCAGTCTGGCTTATTTCCTTTAACACAATTATATCTAGCTCCCTCCATTTAACTGCAAACACAGCATCTCATCCTCATCATGGCTGAGCACTCTTCCACTGTGTGTTTCCACCTCAGCTCTACACATCCCTCATCAGATGAGGGGCTCCTGAATGGATTCCATCCTGTCCCATGGTGAACAGGGCTTGTCTTGTCCATGTCTAGGATTTCAGTTCAGTTGTCTCTTCCCACCCTAAATTTTACTTGTCATCTCCAGATCATAGCGCTCATGTCACCTCTGCACTTGCTCGTGGAGAAGAAGATACTTTTTCTACGACAGACATTTCCCTTCCATGGACACAGGCTTCTGTGGAGGTCACCCTGTGAGCCAGATATCCATGGCCATGTTCTTTAGAGATGTGTGTCTGAGCCTAAAGGACAGTTTTGGAATTTTTTGGTCTCTCTAACCTAAGAACATTGTGTGTCTGTTCTGAAAGCCATAGGTCCTGACCCCAAACAATCCAGCAGCTGTTGATACACACGTGGGCAGAGAGAGGGTGGAGACACATTGGGCTTTTCATCTCAGCTGTGAAGTGACACATGGTTTCTTGAGGGTAGCATAAGAGTCATCATGGACAAGTCCACAGCCAAATACACACAAGGGCGGGGTAGGTGGAAATGTTAGATCAACACAACATCAAAGGTTTGGAGGACAATGAGGGCTAACCACGTTTCCTTTTCATATCTCCAACTATTCTGGCACTTACACATATGCAAACACTACAGTCCAAACCTCTGATACCACATTCAACAAGCAAAACCATGCAATGATCCAGATTCATCCTTCACAGGCAAAAGGAATGATCCAGAATCCTCCTCACAGACGAGGCCAGAATGATCCAGAATCCTCTTCCACAGCCAGCATGCTGTCCATTGCAGGACCCCTGCAATCACATGAGGATTTCTTCCTCTTGTTCATGTTTTCTGACTACCGACCCTCCATTCGCAATCTAAGCACAGGGGATGGCTCTGAAGTGTAGACTGCTGAGCTTCCTGTGTGTCTGCTCCTAGTACCTACCGTGTCTCTGCAGTGTCCTCAGTCCTAGGAGCTGACCTATGCCCACATGCTAGTCCCCGCAAGTGGGACCAGCTCTGAGGAAGTGGGCATGTGGCAGTGCAGTAGCAAAGGATGACCATCAGGAGGCACTGTGATGCATAAGAAACACGTGAGCTTCCCAGAGCCTTAAGGGGAAGAGGCCTGCAGAGGGCCTGAGCAAAGCTGTGGTCTTCTGAATGTCAAGCAGATGCTCAAGGAGGACGGGAGAGTCCACAAGAGGGACAGAGTCCACAAGAGGGGCAGGTGTTCCCCTGCTAACCCAGGTCGCTGAACGCTGACCATGCTTCCCAAAAGTAGCTCAAACCCTATCAATTGGGGATTTTGACTGCATTGGAGAACCTTCTCTTCTTACTGAAGTTAAGGTGCTAAAACAATGACTGAGAGAAAGAACCAGCATTGGGA